AAGTCTGTGGTAGTAAGCATGGGGAGTTTCATGCCGGCCCTGTTTGGTGTCTTGGACAGCGATCAGTCCGTGTCCAGACTCTGGGTCTGAGAATTCCTTTATGATGGCTTGTTTAAGTTGCTGGTGAGGCCACTCTCAGGATCAGTTCCTTTAATGTCCTCGGGATCTCTGTTGCTGGCCCGTGTGCTCTCCAGAGTCAGTTCTGGGTATTGTGCAAAGATGGGCAGGATTTTAACCGTCTCTATAGAGGCAGCGCTGTGTCCTCTGTAGGGCATATGGGCTGAGTTCCGCAGATGTCAGGTGGTCATTGTGTGGGGGAAGGCCATGGCGCTTGGGTGGTGACTCACAATGTGATGCGGATTTTGGGAGGAGGGAAGGTTCTGGAGTTGAAGCCTTACTCCCTCGTGGCCTGTTCTGTTGTCTGCCGTAGACTCAGAGTTGGCTGCAGCAGGCTTGTTGTAGTTTTTGTAATCCTCTTTGACAGTTTCAGACTGCTGGTACAGGATGTTGTGTGCCTCAAGGCCAGAGGTGATCCTGAGCAGATAGTCTGTCTTGTGTGGTCACATTGGGCAGAGTTCAAGCATAAAAGTCCCGTGTTTTCCCTGTCTGTTCACCTTGTGGTCTGCAAGCATATTTCAGTTCATTTGTGACATTGAATTCACCTTGGCTTCGTTTGACTTTACCCGATTGGTGTTTGGAGTTGTCTCGTTGCTGAGCAAGGACTTGGATTTCAACTCGGGCTGCTTGCAGGTGGCATTCACAGGTGTTGTTTCGATTTGCCTGAATTAAACTGCAGCTGCAGAGGTTTTCAGGAAGCTGAATTGTGAAGGGTCAAGCAGAATGCTTTGGCTCCCCCCTTTGTATCTGTGTACAGGAGTGAGGGAGTTTGCACTGCTGGCTGTGTGACATGCAGCAGGGTGTCTTTTACTTGAGTCCATGCGCAGTCGTTAGGACTGTTTCAGTTCTTTCTGAACCATGTCAAGCTCCTCTTTAGTGTTGCAGAATTGCTGAGTCAGGGTTTGGACCTCAGCTCTGGCTGCATGCAGATGCCCTTCTAAGGCCTTATCTCTTGTGTCTCTCTCATTAAGTTCCACACACGCTGTTTTTAACAGCGACTTTTTGTGAAACAGTTCTCTTTCCAAGTCTTGTCTGGTGGCTTTTCCAAGCTGCTCTCGGTGTCCAGCAGATGTTAGAGCCTCCTGAAGACTGGTGATTTCCTTCTGTTGCGCCATTTTGTCAGGTTCTTTGCATCTGTTCTGTGCCGTCTCTCTCTGAGTGGTTGTCAGTTCCCTGTGGCAGTTTGTGACTTGCAGTTTCAGATCATTTACCTCCTGTCTGAGGCCCTTGAGGGTGTGGGCCAAGGAGAAGATGATGCTGGTCAGCTGCTGGTTGTCCAGGCTTGGTGTCAGGTGTCCATTTGTGTCGCAGTCTCGCTGTTCCTCTCTCTGTCATTGCAGGTCATTGGCTGCTTTGGGCTGAAGGATGTCCATCACAGTGCTCTGCTGGGTTTCCAAGTCGAACGAATCGTTTCGAAATCATTGAAAAATGATTCTAATATTAAATGTATATTCTGAGAAAATTACAATGCATTCTGACCTTAGATGCATTTAAACTTGTTGTAGGGGACACCAAACACAATATTAGGACACTTTAAAATAAAATTTTTTATTTTTTTATTTGCAGCATCATTACTCCAGTCTTCAGTGTCTCATGATCCTTCAGAAATAATTTTAAGATGCTGTTTTGCTGTTCAAGAAACATTTATTATTATTATCAATGTTGAAAACTGTGTTGTTCTGCTAAATGAGAACACCAGAGAGAGAGAGGCAGAAGGCAAATGTAAGTACGTACAGAGGTGTTAAGCTATCTGTATGGGGAACGGCTGTGTAGGCTGTGTAAGGTGTGAATAGCTGGTGAGGGGCAGCTAGTGAGGTAGGGTGCTATGTTTTTGTGTTCAACACAAAGAGAGAGTTTGAGTAACTTTGTTGATGGGGATGTAAGCAGGGGTCAGCTAAGGACCGGGCTATACATGTGGTCAGACTATTACTCAAAGCACTGATGGTTCACAGGTTTGGTCACTATGAAGGTATCAGATAAAACAAAACTGAAATAAAATCAGAAAGAGACAGAGAGAGAAGGAAGGGCTTGCCTTATTTAGTTTAACTAGGAGATACAACTAGGCAGTTGTCACTTGTTAAAAGGAATGCTGCAGCAAGGTCATAAACTTAGGGGGTCTGTTAGCTAAGCTAGTAGGGATACATCAAACACCTCAAGGTATATAAACAGAAACAATGGAAGTGTTTCTAGTCTTCTCAGGGCCTATAGTATAATGAATGGTAACTGTACCTTCTGTAATAGGCCTCGTGCTGAGAAGTATTGGGTATAGCAGAGACAGGAATTAGGGCTACTAATAACCTGTATGGCTCATTAAGGATACAACAGCTGCTAGAACTGCTATAATCCTATACCGAGAGGGAAGATGGTGATGGTCAAACAAACTAAAATAAGGTAAAAGTAAAACGAAAAGGTCCTAATAGCTGTAGGAAACTAAAAGGGAAAATAAATAAATTGATTTAATTAAATCTCAGATTTATTTTCCTTTCAGATTTCCTTTCAAAGGAGTGGTTTGAAAGTTACACTTTACACACACCTATCTAAGTGTTAGTCAGATGCTAACAGCTAGCAGTTGAGGTAAAGGGCTTAGCTTAGCCTGTATGGCTGCTAAAGAGTTAGCGTTGGCTACACGCAGTTCTTTGTTTACACAAAGGTCTGTGACGTGTGTGCTGTTTTCAGATTGAACCGGAAGAGCCTGCTCGCACCTCCCGGGGTCAGACGTTGCTAAGAGACCGATGCAAGCTTACAACATGCGCAAATGGAGCAGAACTTGCACTGCTGTAAATATGCATGGGAAACTTAAGCGCAGTCAGTTATGACGTGTTGCATACAACTTCATTCACAAATCAAAACAGTACATTCACTTCACAGACAAAGGTCAATTACTAGTTAACTAGGCTAGAATTACACCATTAATTCGCTATTCAATTGCATCACCTTAATGACTACAATGTCATAGATACGCGATAGATACAAGAAGGCCTTAATTTAGGGAGATGAGGAACATCGCTCAAATCACTATTAAATGTAAATAGGCTGCAGAGAGATTTCTTCGTCGCCCAGATTTAATATCACTGCCAGTGGGATCCCTTCGCCA